GGAGGAAGGGAGGAGGAGGGAGAAGGAAGGGAGGAGGAGGGAGAAGGAAATGAGGAGGAGGGAGAAGGAAGGGCGGAGGAAGGGAGGAGGAGGGACTGTCTCTTATACACATCTAGATGTGTATAAGAGACAGGAGGAGGAGGGAGAAGGAAGGAGGAGTATAAGAAGAAGGACCTTGTACGGAAGCGCCAAACAACGATCTCTCCTCGACCTGTCTCTTATACACATCTAGATGTGTATAAGAGACAGTCGCAATTCTGCACCAAATTTAGAATAAAAAAATAAAATTTTAATTTTGTTATTTTAATTTTAAAATTTTAATTTTTTTTAGCCCGGCCGGGCAAGTGACCCCGGGCCACTCTGTTAGCCTAGCTCTTTTTTTTTTTTTTTTTTTTTTTTTGCCAGCCATGCAAAAGTTGAAAATTCACAATACTCAAACGTGATGGACTTCCTGGCTTCACAATTGACTGCCCAAAATTTTTACATCTATTCGAATCTGCTGCTGGTCAAGGAGGAGAGAAGAGCATGATATGCTCACCCCTGTTCACATTTGCCCGAGTGTGCCGCCGATCCTTTCAAACTGGCAACTTGTCGCAAGATACATTCATCACTTTTCAGTGTTTTGAACTGTTTTCACATTTCGCGAGTAGTGGCGCAAGCCCTCCTTCACCAGGTATTTATTGCAAGACAGATTCGAATCTCGGGCTCTCGGGCTCCGTATGAACCAAAGACTAGTCAAACTTGCATCATTCTGGTCAAGATATGTTGTTGACCAAGATCTTTGACTATGACCATGCGGGTCACACCCTACGGTCTTCCCCCGAACACAACGCCCTCTGATTATAAATGTACACAAGGTACAGTTCCGGTCCGATACGGTTGCAATGAATTGCAGTTTGTTTGTTTGTTTGTTTGTTTGTTTGTTTGTTTGTTTGTTTGTTTTTTAACCACTAGTACCTCCGAGCCTGTTTTTCCCAATCCTGAATTTCACTGCGCATCGAAAGTTGCCGAGCCTGGGTCCCATTGTGTTTTCTTTTATGCTTCTCTTTGGAAATCGGAAAGAAAAGAAAAAAAACACGACCAAAAAAAAATAAAAAAATTCAACCCCGCTAGGGACGTGAAAGCAGCCGGATGCAGATTCTGGGGTACATGTGAGAGTATGCACCTTCTACGGGCGTAACAGCTCTGCTGAAATCACGGCAGCAGGAACAAAGAAAAGAAAAAAAGCAAAAATTCAGCAATGCAATCAGACTCGTTCTCAAACACACTTTTCATGCATGTAAACAGCAACGCAGCATACTGGCGAAATGCGCCCACTCAAAACTCAGATGTATGGCTTTCAGATACGAGTTCACTCTCAATTGGCTATGGCGACTTCAGCGCCCAAACATCTCACTGTTCACATACACTGGATCACCCTGGATATCCCACACGCATCACTCTAACACTCGAACACACACACACACTCACTACTAACTACAGCTATGGCAGCTGTCGCTGCATCTACCCTATCGCTATGCTAACTCCCTCTCTCTAGCCCACTGCGTCCTCCGGGCTCATCTGCAGACCTCCTTGCACAAGTCGCTGTGGCAGCGCTTCCGCATGGCTCACGCAGGAATGAATGAATGGCTGGGCGCTGCCTCTTGATTTATACTTCAGAAATTCGTTGGTCTGCCCTTTGCCATCGGCCCTTGGTGCTCACAGTCCCCCTGTGGTACTTGCTGGACTGGACTGGGACTCTCTAGACCCTTCTGCTGACTGTAGGCAGTCGTACCGTCGACTCAGTGCAGTTGCACTGAGGTCCTACCTGTTGACCTTGCCACTTGTCTTCGTCTGAAAACGTGGGCCTACCTTAGACTCACCACTTGACCACTTGCCGACCTTCTAGAAGGACTACAGCTAGGCCTCTGGACTCGACTTGGACTCCTACCTTACAGGTCTACAGTTCGAATCTCCCTACAGCCTACAACCTACGGCGACCTACTTACCACTGGCTATCGTGCAGGTCACGGGTTCAACTCCAGGGAACTGTGCAGATACTGTACACAGGTAAGCTGAGGTCAAGGGATCGACCCCTGGGATCTGCATCGGCTACTGCCAAAGGTGAAAACTGTTTCAGCAACAACTCTTTGGACGTGAAAGCAGCTAGATACAGAATCTGGAGTACCTGTGACAGTATGCCCTCCCAACGGGCATTGCAGCCCTGCTGTAATCATGACAGCAGGAAAAAAAAAGAAAACAAAAAAGCAACAACACTTTGGACGTGAAAGCAGCTGGATACAGAATCTGGAGTACAAGTGAGAATGCGCCCCCCCCTTGCAAAGTGTCAGCTGCCCGTGGAATGCGCCTTGCCTCTCGTTGGCAGGGCACTAAACGCGGATCACCAAAAAAAGAAAGCAAAACACATACAAAAAACGAAACTGGCTATGTTTCTGGGTAGATGCGTTTCTTTGAGTTCTGATGTGAGCACATCTCCCTCACGGCCTTCCCCGATGTCCTTCCTTTCTTTCTTTTCTTCTCTTTTTTCTTTTTTTTGGTAATGGGAAATGCAACTGATGCCGAGCCTGTGGTACCTCCGAAGTCTTCGGGGAAAATGGGAAAACGTCCACTTTTCCCTAATTTCCCAACACCGGCGGAGGTACTAGTGGTTTAATGAATTGCAGTTTCTTAGGGGGACTGTAAACTATTTTTGTTTGAGGAGTCCAAGTTTCGAGTGGGTTCGGGACTTGATCCCGTGACCTGTAAGGTGTGTGTTTGGTTGGTTGTTTGAGCCTTATTGGGCTCGTTCTCTAGATCTGACTAGAGTAGTCTCTGTTGGCTGGTCTTAGGCCCTTTGGCCTTTTCTTTTTGTCTTTTCTGGACACTCGTTTTTTTCAGCAGGCAGGTAGGCTTGCTTCCCCCCTTTTTCCATCTTTTTCAGTCGGCATTCAGTCCTAGTCAATAGGCTGTCCGTCTTAGGCTGTAGGCTGTCGAGTCCTAGAGTGTCGAGGGGAACAAAAGTGTCGAGGGCAACGGGAACAGGTTCTTTTTTCCAGGTTCTTTCAGGAAGTGCTGCTGGGAGGTCGCGTTGAGGCTGCAGCACTTGTGGTCCCTAGCGCAGGCTCCTTCTTCACAGCGGTTGCTGACGGCCATATCTGGTCGAGCCAGCTACCTGAGGACAGCGCTGGGCTTGCAGGCCCCAAGCGCTGCAGGCGCATCGTCCTATTTTGTGTACTGTTGGGGTTATGACAGAGCTGCCGTCGAAACCCTTCTCCAAAGTGTTTGTCGAAGTGGCAGCCACCTTCTTCTTCATCAAGTTGCTGTTCTTCTTCTCCATCCCGGGAGCCGTGCTCCCCTGTTGAGCGAACACTTCATCTGCAGTGGGCATCGTGGATGAGGCAGAGTGGCGTGCTGGGCTCAGGCGGGTTTGTGGCAATTGGTGGACTGAGTAGGTTGGGGCGCTGGAGATTGGAGCGGCGCCATAGCTAGAGCTTGACGTCGGTCGAGGGAGGAAGAAGAAGTCTCGCTCACTTGATGAAACTCTGTTCCTAGTTGGTCCGTGGCTGTTGATGACGTGGTCGGGATCCTGGGAATTCATGTGTCTGATTAAACTGGGGAGAGACGGTGTTAACGAGGATTGATTATATTCAATCCTATTTGTGGATTTTGTGAGCTTCTGCTGTGTACCATTCTCATTGGTGTGGTGTGGATTGCTCTCCTCAAGTCTACTTGTTGTTGCACATGTGTATGGGAACAGGTGAATGCCCTGCTGGATTCGTTTTTAATCAGGCACATAACACAGTCATGACAAGGGTGTGTTGTAATCGGGGGAAGATGGTAGCGCTCAACTCTCAAGGCCTGTGATAGGGACCCCCCATTGAATGGGGAATGCCAAAGATGGGGGGGGCAGGGGGGTGGGGTTTTGTTCCAACCTGTCATGTAAAACAGGTGGAGGACGGATACTGGCAACACAGAAGGAGAAGGGAAGTTGACGGGAAAGATAAGAGAGGAGGAGGAGGAGGAGGAGGAGGAGGAGGAGGAGGAGAGAAGAAAAGGAGGAAGGAGGAGGAGGGGAGGGAAGGAGAATGGGAGCGGAGAAGTGAAGGAGAACCCTTTGTGACAGAGATGAAGGACGATTGAAGACGGAGTAATGTCAGCACAAGAGGAGGAGGAGGAGGAGGAGGAGGAGGCGGAGGAGGAGCGAAGGGAACAAGATGTCGAAGAGAAGGGATGGAGGAGGAGAAGGAGGAGGTAAGGGAATGAGAATAGGAGGGAAGTGAAGGAGGAGGGGTGTAACAGAGGTGGAGGAGGATGTAGGGGTTGAGGTAGAAGAAGAAGGTTGGCTATGGATGATAAGTGAGGGAGGAAAAGAAGGGTTGGGGTAGAAGAAGAAGTTGGCTATGGAGGATCGGTGAAGATGGAAGGAGGGTTGAGGTTGAAGAAGAAGGGTGGCTATGGAGGATGAGTGAAGATGGAGGGATGGCAACACAGGAGGAGGAGGGAGAAGGAAGGGAGGAGGAGGGAGAAGGAAATGAGGAGGAGGGAGAAGGAAGGGCGGAGGAAGGGAGGAGGAGGGAGAAGGAAGGGGGAAGGAGGGAGGGGAACAGGAAGGAGAAGAGAAGAGATGGAGGGGGAAAGGAGGAGGGAAGGGAAGGCGCAAGGAAAGGAGAGAGAAGGGGAGCGAAATATGAGGAAATGGGAGGAAGATGGAGAGGAGACAGAGGCAGGCTGAGGAGGGACTACTACCATCTTCACCCAAAAATAACGCCCGGGCATTAAATTCACCTTACCCTAAAAAGATGAGATTTTCGTTCTTACTCACTTTTTTAAAAATAGAACGCCCTTCGAATAGAACGCCCGGCTGTTATATTCGAATAGAAGGCCCGGGCATTATATTTGAATTTTCCATGGGCAGAGTGCCTTGAAGAGGTAGCATACATGGGTTTTAAATGGCGGGGAAGGGGGCATACATGGGTTTTGAAGTGGGTTGACTGGGGTTTTGACTTCTAAGGGGTATATTTCAGCTTCATTTTTTGTTTTTATTTTTTTTTATTTCCAAGTTTACAAGGAATTCTGAAGTGACCCTCAGCCAAAAGTTGGTCGCAGTGCGATCCTGGACAACTTTTTTTTTTTTTACAGATTTTTAAACATTTTTTTGATTTTTTTTTTTTTTTGAATTTTAGGGCCTCACCGAAGTTACCACAAATTTACTGAATATAGCGCCCGGGCGTTATAAATGAATATAACGCCTGGCGGGCATTTAATTTGTAGTATTTGTACACAACGCCCAGGCATTATTTTCGTGTGAAGACGGTAGTGGGAAAGGAAGAGAGGGGTGGGGGAGGGAGGTGGGGACTCTGGGGAGAGGGCGGGGGGAGGGATGACGAAGAGGGAGAAACTCACCTTCCAGACGGTCTGAAAAATCTTTGGGGGATTGTAGAGAACTGCCATTGCTAAGCGCTCTGGATAGTGGTTCTGAAGTATGGACAGGACTTCTAGTTGTGTCTTGATAGGGCTGCTGTTCTTCTGCGACAACTTGTGGAAGTCGATGAGCCAAACCATTTGTTCCTGGCCGGCCGGTAATGAATAAATGGCATTTTCCATTGACCACACTAACAACCTTATGTTGTTCTCATCGTCGTTGCTATTCTGTAAACAAAGTTAACAAACCAGATCAAGGAGAAGAAGAATATTCCATAAAGTGAGACAATAATAATAATAATAATAATAATAATAATAATAATAATAATAAATTTAATAATAATAACAATAATAATAATAATAATAATAATAATAATAATAATAATAATGACTTAAAAACTTAATAAAAAGCTAAAAATAATAGGAAAAAAAGAAATTTGAAAAATGCTCACAGAAGTAATCAAATCATAGACATCAACATGCAGACCAAGTACATAAAGCACACAGAGTACAAACAACGCCGTCAAGAGAGCCCAAACTTTTACGAGATGGCTCTCGGAACATCTCAAGTTCTCTCAATGCGGTCCCCCCCAACAAACCGCGCACCCAAATCCACCCTTGGTACAAAATTCCGGCAAATGCTGACAGCCTGACACTGAACGTGTCTGAGAAAGAGACACATATGCCTGACAAAAAAGACTTTGACCTACTACATCTACTCTCGTCACCCGAATTCAACGCCCGGTCATTATAGCTGCTGCTGCATTTGGGGCAACTTTCAGTCCAGGATAGAGCGATAATGACCAGATGGTGTGTTCATGTGAAGACTGTAGGTGAAGGTGGGAAGTCAATCACCTTGTCAAAGGGCAATCAATGGAGAATAGCCCATTCTAAGAGACGGAATAGCCCATCAAAAGAGGCTGCCTTGGAGAAGCTGCTGGAATAGAAAGTCATTGGAGAAGCACGTTTACATTCATTGGAACATGCAGCCATGGCGTGCTCCGCTGAGGAAGGACGGCGTCTTTGTCATGCTTTGAGCCAACTTCAGGGCCGGGCGAGGATGATGGATCGGTCTCGCAGGGCCTTGTATAGCGGACCAAAGTGACAGAGGAGGATCCTGTACGGCGAAGGAGGTTAGTGAAGACACCAAGAGGGAAGGTTCTGAAGGATCTGGAGGAGGAAGAAGCGAAGTCGAGTGACGGTATGGATATGGAGGAACGTCCCATCCACAAAGTCGAGCAGAGGTGAGGATGATGAGCACAAAGACTCAGATTTTGAGCTGCGAGAGGAGCCATCAATCGTGGCCACAATACACAATGATAGGAGGACTCGACGGCAAGTGAGGTCAATAGTGGTCCCCACAGGGGAGATGGCTGTGCAGTATCTGCGGGAGATGGATGGCCAGCATCTGCGGATGGATACTGACATTGAGTTCTTTTTGCTCCACACCGCCCACCACACAAGTGGTTAATGGGGACCCCCGCTTTCAACTCCTTGGTTAACGGGTTCAAAACTGAAATTAGGATTTGGGGGTCAAGTTGTTTGTTTTTCAGTTTGCTTTTTTTTCTTTTTGCCTGTTTTTGTTTTGGCTCAAGGTTGCTGTGTGGCATGACAAATTGTCTGAAAATTTAGGCCTCCGTTCACCTGCTCTCAATATCCGATATGCAAGAGGGAGAAGAGGAGGTGGAGAAGGGTAAGAGGGAGCACAATGAAAAACATGAGGAGCACAAAGAAACCCATGACCGGCAGAGGTCAGTGGCGAGCGACGAGAGGAGAAGCAAGAGGAGCGGGAGGGGAGTCTGCGGCAGGAGGAAGAGCGTGGTGCAGTGGAGGGGCCTCATGAGGAGGGGTTGCAGCAAGCAGCGCCGCTGGCATGTGAACGGAGGACACGCCGCAAGGAGGGCCTCAACAGCATACCACCATTCCATGCCACGAACGGGACTGTCCAGAATAACGTACCTGAACGGCGCCGTTGGTACGTTTGCCTGGTCCACCTCTGGGTTAGTAGGGCAGGGAGAGAGAGGAAGACGCCGAGGGAGGAAATTCCAGCGGCGCCCAGATGTGGTCGTGGGAGGCCTTGCGAGGCCAGGACTGCCGAGCAGGCTGCACAAGTGCGTAAACACAGCGATAACCATCCTTGCAAGGGGGTGGTTGGCGAGGATGACCGGGGCAAGGAGTCAATGCATGATGAGGACACTGGTGGTGATTAAGATTGACAACAGAATGTATGTGTAGAGAGACAGAGAGAAGAGGGGGGG